AAACGCCCAAGAACTCCAGGACACGATTAACATGACAAATTTATGGATTTTTGGTATAAAAGAGTTTGCTGAGCTTCAGACTCATGATGTAGAAAATGTATTTATGAAATAGTAACATAAAACTTCGCAAATCTTGGGGAAAATAAGCACACGGTGGAAGAGGCATTTAGAACCCCAAACAAACCTGACTAAAAAAGAACTTCCCCTTATGCCATTATAGTTAAAATGGCAAGAGTATAGAACAAGGAAAGAATATAGAAAGCTTCGTGGGAGAAACACAAACCACTCATACAGGCAAAGCCAAAGCTATTATAGACTTCTCTGTAGACACACTAAAAACCAGTAGGACACGGAACAATATATTTCAATCCTTGAAAGAAAAGTAACAACTTCCCACATAGACTACCTATTCTCTGCAAAGCTGTTCTTCAAAATTGAAGGTGACATAAATACCTTCCAAAATAAGCATTAACTAAAGAAATTCATGATCACTAAGCTTATCTTTGAAAAGATAAACAAGCATTTCAGAAGATGCTTAAAAGAATTATATTTGCAGAAAAGGAAGAATATTGGAAATTAGGAAATAACCAACTACTAGAAAAACAGTAAAATGACAGAAATAAATATTTACCTTTTTATACTAATTCTGACGCAAATGATCTTAATTCTACAATTAATACACAAACTGGCAGATCAGATAACAAAACAAAATGAAAAACAAGATCCAACTCTTTGTTGCCTGCAAGAAACATGCCTCACTAACAAAGACACAGACAGACTGAGAGGAAATGGGTGGAAAAATAATATTCCACGCAAACAAACACAGAATTCAAGTGAGTAGCAATACTCATCTCTGGCAAAGCAGACTTCAAGACAAAATTATTCAGATGAGACAGAGAAGGTCACAACTTATTGTTAAAGGGAATAGTTCACCAAGAAGTTACAACAATTGTAAATGTATGTGTAGCGAACGCCAGCTCAGTTTCATAGAATAAGCAGTACTTGACATGAAGAGATATACAGGTTCTAATACAATAATAGCTATGACTTCAATGCTTTATTCTCACTAACACATAGGTCACTTAGAGCCCCCCAACCGACAAGGAATCATCAGAGTTCCATGTCTCTACAATATTTCACCCAATTGTAGAATACACGTTGGCAGCAGTTCATAGAACACGCTGCTAAATAAACTTTAGGCCCTAAGGCAAGCCTTAACAAATCCAAAAAAGTGGAAATAATTTCTTATACATACAAAAATTTCTTACAAATATCAAAACGTTGAAATAATTTTCTTATCTGATCACAGTGGAATTAAACTGGGAAACAAAAGAGAGAAATCACAGAAGCCAAACAAATGCGTGGAGACTGGACACTGTCGTATGAGTGAGCCAGTGAACAAATCATGAAGAAAAATAAGAAGCCTAGACTCAGATGGAAATCAAAACACAGCACACCATAATTGCTGGGATTTAGCAAAGACAGTTTTAGGAGAGAAGTTCCTTCCTATGAGTGCCCACATAACAATCAGAAAGATCTCAAATAACCTAATGATGCAGCTCATGGTTTTAGAAAAACAGGAACAACCCTAAATGAAACCCATCAGAAGGAAAAACATAATAAAGATCAGAGCTGAAATTAAAGAGCTAGAGGCTAAAAGAACAACACCAGGACCAGGAAACAAAGTTGGTTCTTGGGCAAGATAAACAAAACTGATAAACTCCTAGCATGAAAGCCCTTCTCAGCAGACAGTCCACACTCCAGAAAATGCTGATGTCACACTGAAGGGCCGCACGGTGACCGTGGAGGCCCCCAGAGGGACCCTGCCGAGGGGCTTTAACCATATCAGTGCAGAACTCACTATCCTTGGGAAGAAAAAGAAGAGGCTGCGAGCTGACCAGTGGTGGGGAAACCCGAAGAAACTGGCTACCCCTCGCACGATCTGTCGTCCCGCACAGAACACCATGGAGGGTGTTTGCTGGGCCTCCGTTACCAGATGGGGTCTGTGTGTGTTCGCTTTCCCTCCTCCATCTGGGTCTCTTGTGGAAATGTGGAATTTTTGGGTGAAAAACACACCCACCAGTTTTGTACAAAGACCGCTGTTGCTTGCTGAGTATCTCAAGCCCAGAAGATGAACTAATCTTCGAAGACAACGACAGTGAGCCTGCTCCAAATTCATCTCCTTTGCTTCAGCAAGGCACAACAGTCAAAAACAGGGGCACCAGAAAATTTTGGGGGTGGAATCTAGGTTTCTTTTGTTCTTTCTTTCTTTTTTGGTACAGGGTCTCACTCGGACTCGTAGTGATCCTCCTGCCTCAGCTTCCAAACCCGATTTCTGTTCCAGTGGCTGGCATCAGGCACACCCAGGTTCCAGTGCAGCTCTGAATGCAGTAACGGGAGTTGTTTTCTCAGTGTTCAGGTTTAATTTCAGTGTTGGCACTTCACCATAAATCAGTGGGTTTGGGTTGCAGTTTGGGCTCTAAAGAGTTCACTGTCAGTGCACTGGAGACCCCTGCACCCCATGTTTACTGTGGCATGACTCACGAGAGCCAAGACACAGAATCAGCCTAGTGCCTGTCAACACATACATGCACAAAGAAAATGTGGTGTATATATATGATGGAGTACTACCTAGCCATGAAGAAGAACACAATTTTGTCAACTGAAGGAAAACAAGTAGATCTGGAGATTGTCATCTTAGGTGAGATAAGCAAGATTCAGAAGGACAAACAGTGCAGGTTCTTCCTAAAATGTGGAATCTATAAAGCTGACATGAAAATAGAAGGGGGTCTATTATTAGATGAGAGGAAGGAATAAAGGGTGTGGGAATAAGAGATAGGAAATAGGGGGGCGGATATGAGCAAAATGCCCACACTGAAACCCAGTACTGTATAAAATAAATAGCAACTAATAATGAAAGGAAGATTTTGTTTTAATGCTTGGCTTTTATTTGCCAGATAAAGCATGCCTGTTGAACCCTAAAATGCAGGATGTTAACCTTTTGTGGAAGGGATTTTGAAGAGAAGGCACCAGGGCCTGGAGGACGGCGATGCCGTCATCACTGTCTGGGGGTTCAGGAAAGGTCCCCGAGGAAGGGACATTTTGCAGAGATTTGATATCTGGAGTCCCTTGATCAGAGGAGCTGGAAGGAGTCGGGCTTGGCCAAGATTCCCGCAGCCGCTGTAGCCGGCAGGACTCGGCTTTCGCAGCAATCAAGTCCTTCCCCAAGTCCTTGCCTGGCCACAGCTGTCACCTATGTCACAGCTTTCACCATGAGAACTGAAAAGCAGCACCCTGCATTTGCCCCTCGGGGGACACTAGTGCCATCTGCAGCTCAGAGACTTGGTCCTTCCGTGTCCCGTGCAGAGGGCTTTGGCCCACAGGGACTTTGCGGCCTGGAGCAGGCGACCCCACGCTCTGTGCCTCAGGCTCCTGACTCAGACGAAGAGGGCTGCAGTGCAGGGCGGTGAGACCTCCGCTCGTCTCTTCACTGAAAGCTTCCCAGGCTTTTTTCTATTTTTGCAAGCGTTCTGCAGTCCCTGTCATTTCCAGCAGGGGGCGCGAGCTAATTGTCTACCTTTCACTCTGAGCCGTCATTCCGCGACTGGCTAGGATGAATGACCTCGCAGTTTAAGATAACTTAGCGACTTCTGGTTGGCATGGGCACACAGAATTTGCTCTGAAAATTACCCTGAAAATCCCCCTCAATCATACTAAGGTGGAAAACGCAAAGCTCGCCCTTACCACCCTCCTCACCAGCACCCTTCAATCACGGCTCTCTGCGCTCAGTACCGCCAGGGGCACTTGCACCACTTTAGCTCTTTCACGTTCACCAGAACACTATGCGCAAACACACTCCGCTTCATAGATGGAGCAACTGAGGCACAAACATCAGCTCCGCCAGGTATGGTGGCGCACACCGCAATCCGAGCTACTTGGTAGGCTGAGGCAGGAAGGCTTGGAGGGGGTGGGCAGCCTGGGCATCTTGGGAAGGGCTGGGGTGAGGCTCAGGGTTCCCTGGCTCGACTCCCAGTCCAGGTACGTCCCCACCCAAGTTACAACTCTAAAATTCTTCCGATATCAAGACACCAGTAAAACCTATTTTGTTTGAAACAGCTTCGCCTATGATCAGCGCTGGATCATGATTTGCAAGAATCTGATTTTCTCCCCACAGCTGTGGAAAACACTGAGCACACAGGTGTGAGTGCTCACACAACCCCGACGCACGCCGCCGGCAGAATCCACCCGGGACTGACCTTTGCACGGGAAAATATTTACCTTTCAGGAAAGCTATGGGAGCTCTGCCTGCCTGGAGCAAGGCTGTCGCGAAGGGCGCCACTGTCTAGGTGCAGAGACCCGCGGGAGGCAGCCCGGTCGTGCCGCTCACCCGGCCGGCCAAGGCCTGAGCGCCCGGTTCTCCAGCACACTGCGGAAGCACTGGGGAAGCTGGGGTCCACGCACCGCGCCCCCTCCTCCCCGGCGACTCCTCCAGATGCCCTGAGCTTTCTACCTGGAGAAACAAAACTAGGGACGAGTGGGTGGAGTGGGGTTCGGCTAGCTAGAGACCTGCAGGACCCGGCACTAGAAGACGCGGAGCCGCGGGGAAGCCTTCCCGGGCAGCCGCCAGCAGCTCGCAGGGCGCGCAGCCGGCTGCAAAATCCCAGCCCCGGGGAGGCCGAGGCAGGAGGGTCCCTGGGAGCTGGAGGCCTGCCTGCACTACAGAGCGAGGCGCGTTACAAAAACAAAACTATGTGTTCGTTCTTTAAAGTCCCTGAGCTCTCGGTCCGCCTAAACGGGGCGCAAGGCGCTGGGGCCACACGAGCACAGCACCGGCGCTCGAGCCACGGGAAGGACAGGCGGGCCGAGAGCCCAGGCCGGGGCGCGAAGGTACAGCTGGAGGAGGTGGGGTCCCCGGGGGCTGGCCCCGGGCCGCGCCCCGCCCCGCGCTGTAACCCGAGCCGGCCGGGCAGGTCTCGCCCCTGAGTCACCGCGGCGGGTGGGGCCGGCCGCCTCCCCGCCCCGCGCCCTTTAGAGCGGCGCGCGCGGCCCCGGTCCCTGTCCCGCTGCCCTCCACCCGCCGTCGAGATGTTGCGCTGCGGCCTGGCCTGCGAGCGCTGCCGCTGGATCCTGCCGCTGCTGCTGCTCTGCGCCATCGTGTTCGACATCATCGCGCTGACCGGCCGCGGCTGGCTGCAGTCGGACACGCACGTGCAGACGGCCTCGCTGTGGTGGAAATGCGCGGACGAGCAGGGCGGCACGGGCTCCGCCGCCGAGGGCTGCGAGAGCCTCATGGACTACGGTGAGCCGGGTCGCCGCTTCCGGGGAGCCCTCGGGCAGCGCGGCGGAGGGAGGCGGCGGGACGCGCGGGACTCGGGCTCCGGGGGTGCGGGGGGCGTACAGCGGGCGCGGCTCGGGCCGCACCATCGCTCGCCGCAGCCCCGCGAGGCCTGATCTGCGCCCCTCGACGTCCGATCTGCCCCCCAAGACCCGATCTGCTCCTGGGCCGCGTCCCGACCCATTCATTTATTCACGGTTCCGGCTGCAGCGGGTGCCCGGGACGGCTTGCGCCTCCCACTTTCCGGGCGGCGGCGACCTCTTTAGGCCGATGATCTAGAGGAAAGGCCGCGGGGACTCCTTGGATTTCGTGCTTTTTGATCTCTGGAAATGCACACGCCCACTCGGTACCTTCCAAGTTTGCGTTTTCCCAAGTCTTTAAAGCTTTTAGAGGGAATTCTAATTTTTTTTTGTAGTGCCTCCAAGAGGTTACTGTGAAATCCTCTGCATTGTCCAGTTAAAATGCATTCAAACTTGGTGTTTTGTAGGCGACCTACCAGGTCTGCTTGTGGGTCTCTTAAAACGGTCATTATCCTGCACCCAGAGACCCTGCAGATTGAGGAGGCCTTGGGGATGGCTGGGGTGAGGCAGCTGGCAGACCGAGCTCAGCGTTCTTGCTGGGACAGGACCTGGCCAGCCGGGGCTCGGGCTGGCGGCACAGCCCTCCTGGGAAACACAGACAGCGCCCTGTTACTGTTTCTTGCCTTGCCGGGTGAGCTCACCTTTAGGGTGTGGCGGTTCCAATCTCAGGCTGGTGGACTCTTTTGTATATGGTAGGGAACAGGCAGGGCATGATTCTAGTTTGATTTTCATTTTTTATTTAGAAGTCTGAAATATTGACCATTTTTCTGTTAGGAAAACATGGATCCAGCTAGTTCGTTTTGATTTGCTTCAGAAATCGGCCTCTGGAGTTGGTTCTCAAAAGACAGCCATGAAACGTCTATTGTTACTGTTCTGAAAAACACCTGACTTTACCGTTGGTGGTGGCTGTCGCTTCTTGAGGCACTCCATTGACCTTTGCGAAGGTGATTAAGTGCCAGCTTAGGCAGTAGACTCAGCTCCTGCCCAGGACCTAGAAATAAATCATCAGGGAAGGCCGAAGAAGACGGTCTAGCCCAAGCCACCTCCAAGAGGCACCTCCAACCCTCCGAGAACCTAGCAGGGGCCCTTGGCCTATTTTGCTGCTCAACAGTAGGAATTATGCACTCCTACACTACAGGGTAGTTATTTAGGGCCGCCTGGATTCCGTAGATTTTTAGATAGTAAGGGTTTGCTGAAAACAATGTGTGTGTGAGGGTGAGGTCGCTGTGTTTCAGACAGTAAGCAGTTCCTACACTCCAGCATATCTCCTACATACACATACACACACACACCTTTTGTCACCAAGGACTGGGTGAGTGGATCTGATTACAACTATAGATCATTATAGAGAATTGGGTATTTTACTCCATTATGTAAAAGGAAAAAGCTTCTTGATATTTACTAGGAAATATTTTGATTTACCATTGTAATTATTAAAGCAGCCCTTCGGTTACAAAGTGACCATCCCTTTTTAGGATGATACCATGAATATTTATACCATGAATAAATTTACCTTGGGTAGTAAACACAAGCTGGTCCTGGCAAGTACCAACAATAATACTAAAGAACATGGATGTTTTTATGAAGGTAAATAATTCCTTAGAATCACGTGTAAAAAACAGATGATTATGTAATTTTTTAACCACCATTGTTTTTCAAGAACTTCAGTGACCAATCACCTCATTTTTGTTCATAGATGACCCAGATTATACCTGAATATCTTCTTTGACATGATGGTATCAGCTCAGTTAACACCTAGCTTAACGGGTACCTGTTAGTTTTTAATTTATATTTGCTAGAAGGAAATGAAAATCTAAACTTAGGAGTGAAACGATTACCCCAGATTCACCCATAAATAAATGCGGCATCAAACTAAATACGCACTCATAGTGCTATCCTACTGCCAGCACCTTCTTGTCCAGTTTTAGGCTTTGCCAGGAAGATACCAGAAGTATCCGTCACCTGTGTGGATTTCCAACCCTGACGAGCTTCAGCTTGTTAGAGGTGGGGCAAAATGAAGAGTTGCCGCTTGGCCCAGAACCAGGAGAACAGGGAGCCGCAGCGCCTTGAAGCTGATCTCAGAAAGTCAGCTGATTTTATTTCTTTAACCAAAGACACTTTGTATATATGCACTTTTTTTTTTCTCTCCATGAAATCACTCTTAGACAAGTTTTAAAAATCAAGAGCTTTACCAGAATTAATTTTAGGTCATTCAATCCTATGGTTCTTAAAAGTATAGGAAATAAAAAATACACACAAAGCCAACGCTCGTCTTAGACCAACATCGGCGTCCAAGGGCTCTGTTTTGAGATCAGAGGCTTTGGGCTTCTTGGTGGGCTGTGTTGGGGTCAGGGGAGGAGCCATTCTGAGCTGGGTGGTAGACGATTCTGGGTGTAGACGTGTATGTTGGCATCCTGGCACGCAGACTGGCGAGCTGGCCCCTCTGCCAAGCCAATGCCTTCTGGAAATCTAGAAGCCTGTAGCCAGTGACATTTGCTATGCTTAGCAGTAGCCACTGAGAGATTCTGTCCCCTTTAGACCCCTTTAACTGCCTTTGCCTGTAAAATCAGATTCCAGGGGTGTTGGAATTAAGGAGAGGATACAGTTCAGCAGCATAGTGCCTGCCTGGCAAGTTTGAGGTCCTGAGTTCGATTCCAGATGCCAAAACGATCGCTGACTGGGCTTCCCTCAGTGGAGCTACCATGCCTGCTGCTGTTCGCCTGCACCTTCACTGAACTGGGAAGGACTCCTGATCCCTGCTTTCCATCCTTCTCCTCCCTGTGATAGGCTTCAGATATTTGAGGGTAGATCCCAAATTTGTTGCTTGAAGACGTTACTTGGTTTGCACCTCACTGTGAAGGAGGAAGTATAGCATGCGGCTCCCACCCAGCCATGTAGTGCCTGCCTGCTTGCCCAGTCATCCCTCCTCAGAGCCTTCCCGGATGCCTTCCTGGGCTTCTGCAGGAACTCGCCTTGTGTTTTGGTTTTTAAAGACAGCATCTTACTTTGTAGTTCAGGCTGGTCTTGAACTCACGGTGATCCTCCTGCCTCAGCCTCCTGAGTGCTGGGCTTACAAGCATGCATCACCATGCCCTGTCCTTCCTATGTAATTCTTGCATGTGCGCTCAGTTGTCCTTTGGGTTTTTGCTACCCTACATATCAAAGATCAACAGTCCCAGGCCAGGCTGGGAGGCTACTGGATTCTCGGCATCTTAGGCCTCCCCTGCTGAACCGGGAGTGCCTTTGGCAGGGTCCCCAGGTGATTCGAAGGTGCTGCTTTGGGTTGGGAAGCCCTGGTGCGTGAGGACCCTCACTGCATATGCAAAGCAGTGGTTTCCAATAGAGACCCACCCAGGCTTGTGTTTATTTGTAGGAAGAGCCTTTTTACTTCTTAGACTATGTTTTATTCTATTTAAATTCTGCCTATGTGTGGTAGGAAGGACCTCGTAGAAACAACAGGAGGGTATCTGACAAAAATGCAGGTCTCCCAGGCAGGGCCTTCAGCATTGTTAATAGATGAATCTCTGTTCTGCAGGGGGCCCAGCTCTCGCTGGGTGACACCAGTGTCTTCAAGGCACCCAGCTAGCTGGGGGGAGGCCACGGGCTGTCACGGTTGGTTTGGTGCCTGTGTGTAAAACTTCTAAAGAAGCCAGTAAACCCCTGACTGTAGGCACACACTTTAGGGTGAAATCAGTGATGGTCTCAGCAGTATTACTAGCAAATTACGAATATGAGCACTGATTTCCTTGTCAAATACATGTACTTATTATTTGCAAGGTAATTTTTACAAGCTTTAGTTTATCATTTCTAGCTTGACCTCTAAAGGTACTTCTTATTAGTTGTCCTAATTAGTTTGAGGATGAGCTGTCGTTCTCTAACGGAGCGTTGATAAATCTTATTTAAAAGTGTATTGTAATGCTACTGGTTCCTTTGATAACACAGACCTCTTCATAGTTCTTACATGACTTTGGGACAAGTGTAAAATGCCAAATTGATCTTACTTCGAGAAACAAAAACTGTTAGCAAAACACAGCATCTTTTTACCTGGACCTATCGTGTGCTTTCAGTCTCAATTCAGAGATGACAATTGATGGTGACAATCATCACGTCTGTCTGTCTTGCACACTCACACACACACACGCACACACGACAATTGATGGTGACAATCATCACGTCTGTCTGTCTTGCACACTCACACACACACACGCACACACACAGGAAAGGCAGTCAGAGTCAGATTAGGTGTACAAAATAGTAGCGAAGGATGGACTTGTATTCAGAATAGATACAGGTAAGTCTGCCTTTGAAGATCTGTGAGTTCAATCATGAAAGAAGTACCTTTAGGACAAATGTATGCAATTGATGTTTTAAGGGCCAGTGAGATAGCTCAGTGGATTAAGCACCTGCTTAGGCAAGTGCAGGGATTGGGGTTCTATCCTGGGCACCGCAGGCTGTGCCAGCCCCACCCCCAAGCATGCTCCAAGACCTGGCATGGTGGCACACACCTGAAATCCTAACACTGGGCAGGCTGAAAATAGGAGGATTGCTACAAGTCCAAGCTGTGTGGTGAGACCCTGTACCAAATACATAAAAAAATAAAATTAAATTAGATAAATAAAATTGATGTTTTTCACTGGAGTTGGTAGCATGGTAGTTTTGATTATGCACGGTATAATATGAATAATTCTTAGAGGGCTGGGCAAATTTAAAGAGATTGGCCTCATTTTGGGAAGCTAAGTGAGACCAGAGGTTCTTGTGGAAGGCGCTTGGGTGGAGGCCTCCCAAACAGCTCCGTGTGTGTCCTGAGACTCTCAGTGTCGGGGGAAGGTGCTGACGTTCCCCGGCTCGGAGGGGACCCTGGGCCCTCAACACTTTACTCAGACCTGGCCTGGCTCATGTCATTTTCAAAGAAGGTGGCTGTTGACCAGGGAAGGTAGACTGCCTCGCTGGGACAGGCCTCAGTTACTATCTTTCCAGCTGTGCCAAGATTTCGGTCTAAGTAATACTTAATGACTCAACCTGGGTGTTTCCTGCCGTGAGGAGCAGGTTTTACATGCTCCACAACAAAGGCAGCTTTTCTGGAGACAAAATATTGCTTAATTTTCCATTTTGCTTTCCTTAAGACTCAGCGTTTTAAATAAGCAAGATATTACCTGAACTGATTTAATAAGAAAAGTTTGTAAAGTAGTTCATTACCTGTGTGTTCACTTGTGGACATAAGTGAAGTGAACCGCTGTTCGTTTATTTATTTAATTCCCTCCAAATACCCGAGACTACCCATAAATTATATTTCAACTAAGGTGTTAGAGTGGTGGTAATAATCTAAGTTAATTTTCCTGAAATGAACAGGTAAAATCATTAGTAGTATTCTTTATAGGAATGTTAATATGTAAGTAAGCTTCTAAAATATTAATCTGATTGTAAAAATTTGGCTACTGAAATATGTTTCTTGTTGGGAAGTTTTTACTGAAAAGTCCTATTTACTCTTGTGCAGTGCATTTCCATTTTGTTTGTGTTCTTTTATGCCTGTATAGCTGTGTAGCTTTTTATTGCAGTTTCAAAGTTGTGAATTCATAAAAGGAAAAATAAATTTTTGCTTATTAGAATTTAATGATTGGATTTAAATATAATGGCTGGCAGTAGACACGCGCGCACACACACATGCACGCATGCACGCACACACGCACATGCACGCACACACACAGAGGCCAGTAGCTGACTATGGGACACATCAGGAAGCTCTGTGCTCCTCTGTTGGAGGTTCTGGATCTGTTTATAAAGTTTCATTGTGGATCGTACTCTTCTCAGACTACGGCATTAAAGTAAGAAATACAGTGCTACTAAATGCAGATTCCCGGACGCCGCCCCTCAGGCTCTGTTTTGGTGGCTCTAGAGGGAGGCCCAGGAATCTGCATTCTTACCAAGCACTGCTGCTCGACCTGGTTCCTTCTCCATTAAAAGCTTCCTTACTGGAAGGACAAGGCAAAGATAAGAGACTTGTTAGAACTTCTCATCTTGGCCTTCATTCGTTTGTATTTTAAACAAAGCATTCCTAGGTTCGCCTTATCGCTAAAATCTCTCATTGCCCGTCAGCTTGAACTGAGATGTTTCTGAGGCTAGAAAGATCTCTTTCTCGCGGATCTGCTGCTGACCGCATTCTGGCTCTGGAGGGCACCCTGCAGAGCGAGGGCGCTGCAGGAAACCTGAACCACCTAGGTTTGTTGAAATGAGTGACAGAAAGGGATGGTTCCATCGGGTGACCTGGGAGCAATCCTAAAACGGCAGTGCTGTGCATTGGGAATGTAGACAATAAAGACAATAAGGTACTGGATAGAGGAGAAACTTACTTTTTTCCCCATACTGGGGCCATTGCACTGAGCTGCATCACAAATCCTTTTCATTTTTTATTTTGAGACAGTGTCTCGCTGAGTTGCACAGTGAGGTCTAGAACTTGCAGTTCTCCTGCCTCAGCCCCCCAGAGTGCTGGGATTACAGCTGTGCACCACCAGACCCATCTCAGAGGAGGAAACTTAGAGCAGAGAGGGCTCGGAAATTAATGAGCGATGATCTTCACGCAGGAGCGCTCCTCTTAACAGTAGCCTGGACAGGAGGCATTTCTAGCCCAAGGCAACAACCGGAGACTGGCATGTGGATGTCCGTGGCTGGGCCACGGAGGTGGGGGGAAGGGACTGGGGGGGGGCAGCAGGTGCAGCTAGACCACGCCCTCGCTATTCCCACGTGCAGTCTTAGTTTCCTCGGCCTACCCGGGGGCGACTGTGAGCCAAGGTGGGCACTGCGGGCTGTGCTGCGCTAGGGTGGTACTGAAGGCTGGCTGAGCGCCCGTGCCGGTCCTGTCCAAATGCGATGAGGAGATGAGAGGCTAAGAGCGGCGAAGGGAGAAACAACGTGGGCTGTCTGCACGGCAGTTCTAGACCTCCCTGTGCAACTCAGCGAGTCTCAGAATAAAAAATGAAAAGGGGTTGGGATGACGCAGCTCAGTGCAGTGGCCCCAGTACGGGCTATCTGTGAGCCATAACAAAGAACAAAGTGCTGATTCATACAATAAAATGGGCCATCCTTAAAAAGACACCACCACGCTCAGTGAGAAGAGCCAGTCACGAGAGGCCACGTGGTGTGTGGTTCCATTCCTGGGAAACTTCCAGAACGCGACAGGGCTCGGTGAGAAGCGCCTGCTGGTGGTACGGGATGCTTCTTTTCATTTATTTATTTATGTCTGTCTGAGGGAGGAGGTGATGAAAATGGAATTGTGGGCAGTGACGGTTGCACAGCGAACCGCACGAACGGAACGCTCCAGGAAGGTGCGCTTGCGCTACGGACATCATATGTCTAAAAAGAACAGTTGTGTTTGCGTTCAGATAGGCTGGAAGCTGAACTGTAAGTGCTTACTCCCCGAGTGTAGGTATGCCCCTCATTTCTGAGCTAGGGACAGGACCAGCGTAAGCCGTGAGAAGGGGTGGAGCTTCGAGAGCCATTGCAGGCCCTGTGCCATCTGACACCCGTGGAGATGGCGGTGGGCGCCCTCCAACCCCGAATCCAGTGCCTGTCTCCCCCTGATGTTTGTGGAGCCAATATCAGTACTCACACACTCGCGTGCCATAGATCCTGAGTACTTCGGAAATTGAAATTTAGGCAGAGGGGCTGGGCAGATAGCTCAGAGGTCTGAGCGCCTGCCTGGCAAGCGCAAGGATCCAGGTTTGATCCTCGGTACTGCATGCCCTGCCGGCCCAAGCACAAGCCCAGCCACCAAACCCAGGCATGGTAGTGCACTCCTGTAATCCCAGCGCTGGGGAAGCTGAGACACGATTACTATGAGTCCGAGCTGCACAGTGAGACCCCATACCAAGTAAATAAATAACGTTTTTTTTAAAAAATAATAAAATTTAGGCAGAAATTTCAAAAAGCTTTTTCTACAAACATGTAGAATCAGTTTTTTTTTATCTCCATTTAAATTGTATTTGTAGAATCTCTGCCTAGTCATAAATAGTTGCTATTTCCAATGGTTATTTTAGCACAAAATCTGACCTTAATTTTTTAATTTTTTTGGTGGTACCATGGATTGAACTCAGGAACTTGTACTTCCCAGGCAAGCACTTATTCTACTGAACTATCTCCTGGGCCCCAAACCTTAATATAAAACAAAAATCCTTAAAGGTATTTGAAACATTTCCTAAAGAGTTTGCAATTTCAGTTGTTTAGTACCAACATTGTTTATTATGGCTGTGTTGTGTTAGAAACTATGCAGATCTTTTATGTAAATAAAGCTACTTATATGGAAGTTTATTATATGAGAAGCAGTTTAATGAAAGTCCACACTGGACTTTCATTTCAGAGATATAAACATTTGCCCAAAAACCAAAGGGATAAAATTATTGCTGAATCACAACATTTATTACTGATGCATGAGCTGCCCAGTTTCCTGTGATATCTAGAGATGCCCAAGTATTGTCAGAACAAAAACTGTTGCTTCACCGAAACTGAGCTATTGGGAAAACAAACTGCGAGGCTGAGGCAGGAGGATTGCAAGTTGGAGCCCAGCCAGGGCAACTCAACTTAGCAAGAGACCTTGTCTCAAAGCTTTTTTTTTTTTTTTTTTTTTTGCGGAACTAGGGATTGAACTCAGGCCCTTGCACTTGCCAGGGAAGTGCATATTCCACTGAACCATCTCACTGGCCCCTCAAAGCTTTTTAAGGGCCAGGGAGATGGCTCAGTAGAATAAGCACTTGCCTAGCAAGTGCAAGGGCCTGAGTTCAATCCCTGGTTCTGCCAAAAAAACAAAACAAAACAAAAACTTTTCAAAAAGGCATAGTGATGTGCTAGAGAGGAGGGTCAGCGCGAAGGCCCCGGTTTGATCCCCAGCGCTGTGGCTACCAACAACCTCATTCTGTCGATGCGCAGTATGCAGCTTAGGTCTGCAATGCCTGTGTGGTTAATTTCTGGGTTGTGCTTCTGCGCAGCGTGGGGGCGAGCGGCGGTGGCCATGCTCTTCTGCGGCTTCATCATCCTGATCATCTGCTTCATCCTCTCCTTCTTCGCCCTCTGCGGACCCCAGATGCTGGTCTTCCTGAGAGTGATCGGAGGCCTCCTTGCCCTGGCAGGTAAGGCGCGGCAGCTGCACTCCCTCCTGTGTGCCCCACGCAGATCGGAGACACACTGCAGGAGCTAGATTCCCATGCTGCGCTCCATTCTGTGCTCCCTGCTCCAGGGGCCGGGGTTGCCTTCTGCACCCCTGTGGTCCCCAGCCCTGACACCTAACTGAGGGACCGGGGCTACCTGGGTCCCAGCAGCAGAGCCGCTCTGGTGTGGTCTCCAGCCTGGCTCCCTGGCCCTGGTGCCG